TTCTGCACCAATACTTTGAAGACAACTCCTCGCCCTTCATCTCTCCCCACGATAGTCTGGGAAGCCCACAAAGCAGTGTTAAGGGGGCACATCATAGCCTTAGCATCCAAACACAAAAAGCAGAAAGAGGATCAGGTTTCCATTCTCGCACATGACATCCAGCAACTGGAACAACAGCATAAACAACACATTTCTCTGGACCTTTCTAAGCAGCTATTAGACAAATGCACTGCCCTCCAGCACCTACTAAACTCTAATATTAAGTGTACACAGACAGTGCCCGCCATCCCCTGAACAAATTGACCATTTTTTTTGTCCACCCGGCTTACACAGACCATCCTCCCAAAACATCAGACAAGCATTTGACATGCCATTAATGCCTGATGAGTTCGCCATGGCGGTTAGACACCTCCCTATGGGCAAGAGCCCAGGGCCGGATGACTTTATGGCCAAATACTTTAAAACCTTTTCCTCAGTCTTTGTAGATCCTTTGTAGACAGCTTTCAACTCTATCACATTAGGCCACACCCTCCCAGATGATGCACTGGAGGCCCACATAACACTCATACCCAAACCAGTGCGGGAGTTACTGACCGATTTCCCTAATCAACATAGATCTAAAAATATTTACAAAGATCTTGGCCAACAGTCTCAGACCGCTGTTGCAGGGACTGGTCCACCCTGATCAGGCTGGGTTTGTGCCTGGGAGAGAAGTCAAAAATAACACTATGAAATTACTTAACCTCATACAACTCTCAGGAGGGTAACAGTCCCAGAGCCTCATCCTCACTATTGACGCTGAAAAGGCGTTCAACAGGGTAAACTGGTCCATGCTGAGGGCAACGGCACAGGCCATGGGCATTGGCCCTAACATGCTAAGGTGTCTCTCTGCCATCTATTCTAATCCAGGAGCCAAGATATGAGTTAACGGCCAACTATCAGACACAGTGAATATAGCGAATGGCACGAGACAGGGGTGCCCCCTGTCCCGTCTTCTTTTCATCCTCACTATGAAACCCTTCCTGCAGGGGATTAGGGACCACCCGGACATGCAGGGCCTTCCAGTCGCAAACCACAAATACAAAAGATCTGCCTTTGCGAATGACCTCCTCTTTACGATCACTAATCCCATAGACTCGTTACCACACCTACTTAAGGAAATAGACACATACAACCACATCTCAAATTTCAAAGTAAATGTCAGCAAAAGTGAAATTCTACCTCTAAATCTATCACACACCACTCAATCCACGCTCTGAAAAGTCTACCTGTTCCGATGGCCAACAAATTCGGTCAAATACTTAGGAGTGCACCTTCCCAACTCACTGTCACGAACATACGACCTCAACTTCCCACCATTACTGGCCAATATAGCGACAGACCTGAAGGTCTGAAATAAACCACATTTCGGATGGTTGTGCAGAGTCCATATCTTGAAAATGTCCATCTTCCCCAAATTCCTCTATTTACTACAAACCCTACCTATAAAAGTCCCTACCCCTTTCTTCACACTAGCAAAACGCCTTCTCACTACCTTTATATGGGTGGGGAAACACCCTAGACTTTAGCATAAGTGCCTGGTTAGAAGCAAGTCACATGGCGGCCTGGGACTCCCAGACATGGAAACCTACCACAAACCCATAATGCTCACGACAATATATGAATGGGCACACCCCCAAAATCCTAAACAATGGGTTCAGATAGAATCTAGCTGCTTCACGGTCCCTATCCATACAATACCATGGAACTAAAGGGGATATGGTTTATTGGTACCAACACACACCCTGCACCCCACGATAACCCCCACCTTACGTTCATGGACCACAATCAGAAGGGAACATAATATATCACCCCAGCCCTCCCCTCTATACCCATTAATGGGAAACCTGCTCTTTCCCCCAGATTGCCACCCAGCAACCTTCCTGGAATTCACAACCACAACACACCATCTCCACTTAGGGAGTGTGCTGAACGATAAAGGAGTCATACCCTATACGGACCTGGTACCACACGCAAAACATACCGAACTACTTTGGTTTAGACATACACAACTCACCCACTATATACACTCGGATCCAACACTCCTACAGAGGAACAGACTACAATATTTGAGACCTCCAGTACTCAACACACAATACGGACAAAACACCTGTCCACGTTCTACAAACTCCTATATCACCGACCTGACAACCCTCTACCAGACTTCATGAAACACTCGGAGGAGGAATTGGGCATTGCATTGCATTTCAAAGAATGGACCTGCGTATTTATAAAATATCACTCATCCATAAGCAACAATGGTAACGAGGGTAACTATAAACGACTAACAAGATGGCATTACACACCAACCCACATTAACAGATTCCCCAACTCACCAAACACATGCTGGAGATGGAAATATACTGAAGACACCACGGGACACATATGGTGGATATGCCCTTCTATACAAGATTATTATAAAAAGGTAGCAGACCTCATCCTCACAATCACAGGGATTAGTATTCCCCGGGAGCCTAAAGTCATGTTATTCATGCTATACCCCCTCTACATGGCTAAAGACCAGCGATTACTGATAAACCACCGCTCACCACCAAGTGGAAACAAAATAGGGCCCCCTCTATTAGGGAATGGATCACTGAGGTGGATTCCATCAGAACAATGGAGGAAGTCTCTTACTCCTTCTCCCACAAATATGAGGAATATAGACTCACATGGGTACCCTTGCTAAACTTCCTACAGGGTAGCGCCAACACAGGTTAGAGACCACCAGACAGGGGGGTGAAACAGAGATCAGGAGCCACTAGCAGATGCCCAGGTTTGCATCATACTGCGGATCACTTAACACATGGGATTTATTGTTTTTATTCTTCCCTGTGCACCACCCATTTGGTTGTGGATCTGACCATGAAGCATTAAACACATGATGGACCCCCACCCCCTGGATTAGAGTGGGGAAAGCCACACAAAACTAACATACCTGTAAAGTTATCACACATATTATGTCGAAGTTCATGTCTATGTATACTGACGATGTATTATTTTCATGTTTGTCTTTCTAAGCAGATGCTCAATAAAAAAATTAAAAATAAATAAATAAATAAAAGAAAAATAAATTTAATGTATAAAAATACAAAGTTATGCAATACAAAGTTATGCAATTTAAAAAAAAAACATTTTAGTTATGAAGAAAGGATAGCAAATTTAAACCTCTTCAGAGGGGATATGATAGCATTATACGAATATATTTGGAGTCAATACAAACCATTGTCTGGAAATCTATTCATACATGACTTTATAGAGGACACAAGGTCACACGTTTAGACTGGAATAAAGGAGGTTTAGTCTAAGGCAAGGGAAAGGGTTTTTTACAGGAAGAACAATTATGATGTGGAATTAATGCCTGAAGAAGTGGTTTTAACAGAGTCTATACATATTAAAAAGAAAGACAACATTACCTGCGCTCTGGCCTAAATCTCTATGTACATTTAAACAAAATGGAGGCTCTTTGGTTTTATTCCAACAGCCATTTGAATATAAGCTCACCTGCCACGTCAAGGCAAGCCTCAAAAGGTGAGTGCTACTCTAGCCATTAGATTTGCTGATATCAGTCAAGAATCTCCAACGAGAATTTTTCCTATTTATTGCAAAATTAGAAGGGCTTTAAACTAGTTGTTTTGCCTTCTTGTGGATCAACAGCAAAAACAGATGTGAGTAAGGCTGAACTTGATGGACACGTCTCTTTTCAGCCTATATAACTATGTCATTGTTTCAGATTTATAATGTCATAATAGCTGAACTGGAAACCTCTCTAAATCAAGTTTGGCTAAAGTGACCTTAACTTTTCAATTTACTTTGTATTCTCACTTTAGTGAATAACCATATAGATAAATATTGATTTCTATATTCCCAGCTAGCAAGGCATATCCAGAATAAACCTATAGACTTTTGTGGTTCCCAGGTGCCCATGGTAATCATGTAATAATGAAATGCTCTATTTCTTGCAATATTCATGAAGTAATCTTTTGTAAAATAGGTATGTTTTAGCTATAGACCCCATATTACAAAAGGTTGTTGATAATTTGAATTTGATAACATTTTCACAGTATGCTTTGAAATCCATGAATACAAATTTAAATCTTCACTTTTTCCTTTGGCAGTAAGCACTTAACATATCCGATTCTTAAATTTGAACTTGCTGATTGTTTATTTTCTACTTTGATAAAAGATAATTTAAGAAATGTGGCAGCAAGACACATGGCCTCTGGTATTACTCTGGTTGTGTAGCTCATTGGAACCAACATGTCTCACTTCATAAATTTTCACCCAATCATAGGGTAATATGATGCTTAACATGCTCCTATCCACAGGTACCAGGAATATTATCTCCTTCAACTTCCACCTTGATAGTAGGCCACAGCAGACATCTATGATTTACAAATTCCTGTGCTCCAAGAGGAATTCCTAACTGGTTATTTGACAACTGATTTGAATTTACCCAGAATCATGGATGTTCCTATACTAGGCACTAATCTTCACCTGATATTGGTGCAGACCACAAAACTTCCTTCAAGTAGGTTAGGGGGCTCAGGGCTGGGGATGGAGAACATTTGATCTGTCTGAACCCAGGCCCAAGATGGCCATCAAAGCCACATTATATGTAATCTGGCACGGACTGTGTCAAGGTTTTTAAGCCACAATCAGTCCATGGTTTTCCAGAATATGCCTTGTATGGAAATATGTAAAATAACTGACAGATTTAATAAAGTTACTTGTATCTTTGTACTTTTATAAACACTTTATACAGACAAAATTTTCTGTGTTATTAAAAATATTATTTATTAAATAATATGAAAATAAAGAATGATCTGAAATTACTAGTTTGCTTTATTTAGCATTTTCTGGGTGTTTAACTTTGCCTTTTTTATATAAGCAATTGAAATCTTAATTAATTTTCACGTACCTTGTATTTCTCTGTGTTTCAGCCTTTGTACCGGCCATTGCTTCTGTCTAGAAGAGATTGCACATTTAATTTTGCTCTATTATCTTGCCCTCCTGAGTTCCCGTGTACATTTATCCCATACTTTGTTTCTATGTACCCTCTACTCCCTCCTTTGCAAAAAAACGACATTTACTGTAGGACTTGTCAGCTGTAAAGTGGTTAATTTGCTTTATCTCGCTGCAGTGAAAAAATATCATTTCCAAACATTTTTGTTTACTAATGCAGGCTTGAAGGGGGAGGAAAGGATTGTTATTTCCCAGCAATGGTGGAATATGTTAGCCTTTCTGGGAATTAGTCTGAATGCTGATAGAAAAGATTCCTCTCTTTACAGAGGCCTGAGATGGGAGGGAGGATATACAGCTAGCCAGCGGTCTGGAATACAGTGACAGCATAGATATATATTGTCTTGGGGCTACAGTCGTCAAAACAAACAGGGTAAAGATTTACACAAAGACGGTCTTTTTAATCTGATGTTTATAAATGTACTAAAATAGGCAGGGATCATGTTTAGTTTTGCCTAGTTTTTAATAGTGTCAATCTAGTCTCGGAAATCTATAACATTGCTTGGAACATTAAAAATCACCGGTAGCTTGTACTATTAACCTTTTTTCATGTGATGCTCCATTTTCTTTTAAATGCATATTGAAGATTTAGCATTTGATATCACATCCAGGGCACACGTGGTTTTGGTTCTCCTACTACCCTATGCTGACAGGTGAGGAGCATATAACAAATTGACAGTGAGCAATGATGGGGGCACTCAGTTCCACAATAGAAGTTGGTAGAAATTCTACATTTCATTTCATTTTTCCTATCTGACTAACATATATCTGTTAAATAGAGGAAAGAGTTAACATGGCATTAACATCATGGAAAGTAGCCGTTTCCCTTTAAATAACATGGTCTTCAAATTTAGCACTGAATATCGAATGTACAGTAACATTGTACCTCTTGTTATAAACCTGAATTTATAGAGACAGTTGCAACACAGTGCAAAATGTTGTGATAAAAGTTTTTCTCACTTTTATCAAAAATGTTTTTTAAATGGCAAATCCAAAAAAGAACAAACAAAAGTGCATTCAGAAGAAGAACAAAACAGTAAATAAAAGTTTTAGAGAATTGCTAAATGTGAATCCCACACAAATTCAAAAGAGTAAGTAGAGCATAGCAATATGAACACTAGCATTAAATTGACCACTTAACCCCTTGGCCTGTATACCTGAGGTAAACCAGTGAATTAGTAGGAACGAATGAGAAAGAAGGAGGGAGGGGGGAATGGAAAACAAAGGTAAAAGGATATTAATTCAGGGCAATTTCTACATTCAAAAGTCACTGTCCCAAGTAAACCCAAATCATGAGGTAAACATTTTTAGACTGATAGATACAGAATTGTAAGTTCACCCAGGCATTATAAGGGCACAGTCTTTGAGTCAAAATGGGGAGTACCTTAGTGGCATTTAGCAAACTAATTTAAATCTAAATGTAATTTAACAATTAAAGACCACCAGTAATGTCTAGCTGAGCCTTGGGGCAGTTTGAAAGAGCATCTATCTCCTGAGAAAGAGCACCGTGCAACAAGACCTAGATTACTTTATATGAGTTTTTGAGAATTGCTGGGAGTTCAAAGTGAATTTAGGATTATAGAGTTTAAAAGCCAAACTGCAAGCATAGCTGACTTGGAGATTATTTTTCCATTCAGCTATTCTGGCCTTAAATTTAAACCACCCCCAAAAATTCTCACTTTAGGAAATAACCTGCCAAAACAGTATTATATCCACAAAAGGCCACAAACGAACCCTCCCACTCCAGACAAAGTCCACATCATCTAGAGAGGAAGGTAAGATGTGTCCAGCTTGCAAAGGATTGTATGCCAGAATTTGCCAGCAATTTGAATGGGATCTCTTTTACCAGGGAGGAAGCTACGCATTTATGTCTAGTATCCAAAAAGCCATCCAAAATGCCATTTGGCCTCAGGAATGGTGAGTTTCAGGTGTTCAACCATTTTCTTAATATATGAAGACAACGTATGCTTGTTCTATACCAGCATAAGAAATATTAATGAGATTGCTGATGTCCTCTGTTCACATGCATAAAGGCTGTAGGCAGTGGCGTACGTACCGCGGTCGCAGGGGTCACAGCTGCATCCAGGCCGTCACTCCAGGGGGCTTGGCCAGCCTGCAGACCCCTGCGACCGGGTGCCTGCCGCCATGTGTTGCAGACCCGGCCCGCGCAGCAAACCGCCAGGTCGCATGTTCCAGGGGCCCATCGGGAGGCCCATGCTGTAAGGGCCACCCGATAGAGATGAATTTCCAGGGGGCCCCGGTCAGCACTGCGGCACTTTAATAGCACAGCACAGTTGGGAGGAAGAGACTGCACGTCACTCCTCCCAGCTATCAGCGAGAGCCTATGTGGGAGAAAGGAGAGGGAGTCAGAGTGGGAACTCTTACTCCCACCAGTTTGAGCCACCACTGGACCCCATGGAAAGTCACCCTCCAGCACCTAAAAGGTTAGAAACAGGAGGGCGACTTAAACATTTTGTATATGTGTATTTTTGTTTGTATTTATGTGTGTATGTGTGTCTGTTTGTATGTGTCTGTCTGTCTGTGTATGTGTGTGTGTGTGCGTGTATGTGTGTGTATGCGTGTATGTGTGTGTCTCTGTATGTATGTGTGTATGTATGTGTCTGTATGTATGTGTCTGTGTGTATTTATGTGTATGTATGTATGTATGTGTGTGTGTATGTATATGTCTCTGTGTGTATATATGCGTGTCTGTATGTATGTGTGTCTGTATGTATGTGTCTGTGTGTGTGTGTGTGTCTGTCGAGGGGTGGGGCCCATGGATCAGTTTAACACTGGGGCCCCATGGATTGGGTGTACACCACTGGCTGTAAGAGTTCAAGTAAGGCCATACATCGGCATTTTGCATCTATACTAAGAGTGTTTAACAAAGTTAATAGGTTTAAAAGATATTTTACGAATAAACTTGCATTACAGTCCTTTTATCTTGCATATATAACAAAACAGAAGATGGTCAGCATGAAATGCTCGGTGCTGTGATTAGCCAAAGCATTCAGCTGACACAGTCAGCAAATCATAGCCACCATTTGCTTATCATACTAATGCTTCTGCAAGTAGCACATACAGAAGGAGTAGGCTTCTGGGGACTCACATTTGTACAGGGCAGGCCCGGACTGGCCATCGGGCTTACCGGGCAAATGCCCGGTGGGCCGCGGGGCCGAGGCCGGCAGGGGAGGTCCCAGGATCTCCCCTGCCGGTCTATGCAGGGCCGGCGCTATCCGAGCGCCGGCCCCGCTGTCTTCCATGGAGGGCCGATGGGGAGATCAAAGATCTCCCTCACCGGCCCATTTAAATAGACCTGCGGCTGGGGAGGGAGGGAGAGGACACGGCGGAGCTCTGTCTTGCAGCTCCGCCGGGTTTCTCTCGCGAGATCCGGAGCGTTGCCATGGCAACGCCCCGATCTCGCGAGAGAGTTCACTCACCACTGGACCACCAGGGATGGTGTGCGAGTGCCTGTGCCCCCCCTCCCAGCTACCACGTGCATGTCCCCCCCTCCCAGGCTAAAGGTAAGAAGGGAGGGGGGGGGGTTTAGTTTTTATTTTTTGCTTAGTTTTTTTTTTTTTGTTTATTTCCCCCCTTAGTTTTTTTTTTTTTTATATATATTTACCCCCACTTAATTTTTTATTTGTTTATTTACCCCCCAACACACAACATTTATACACAGCACTCACACAACACTCTCACACACATCACACACAGCACTATCACACCCAGCACTCACAACACACAACACTCTCACACACAGCACTCTCACACACATCGCAGCACTCTCACACACATCATAGCACCCCCACACTCCAGCACTCTCACACCCAGCACTCTCACACTCTCAGCAAGCACTCCTCACACTCAGCACTCTCACACACAGCACTCTCACACACAGCACCTCACACACATCATAGCACTCACACCCAGCACTCTCACACACCCAGCACTCTCACACTCAGCACTCTCACACACAGCACTCTCACACACAGCACTCTCACACACATCATAGCACTCTCACACCCAGCACTCTCACACCCAGCACTCTCACACTCAGCACTCTCACACTCAGCACTCTCATAGACAGCACTCTCACACACATCATAGCACTCTCACACTCAGCACTCTCACACACATCACACGCAGCACTCTCACACACATCATAGCACTCTCACACACATCATAGCACTTTCACACACATCATAGCACTTTCACACACAGCACTCTCACACACATCACACACAGCACTATCACACCCAGCACTCACAACACACAACACTCTCACACACAGCACTCTCACACACAGCGCAGCACTCTCACACATCATAGCACTCTCACACACATCACACGCAGCACTCTCACACACATCATAGCACTCTCACACACAGCACTCTCACACACATCATACACAGCAATCTCACACATCGCAGCACTCTCACACACATCATAGCACTCTCACACACATCATAGCACTCTCACACACATCATAGCACTCTCACACACAGCACTCTCACACACATCATACACAGCAATCTCACACATCGAAGCACTCTCACACACATCATAGCACTTTCACACACAGCACTTTCACACACAGCACTTTCACACTCAGCACTCTCACACACATCACACAACACTCTCACACACAGCACTCAGCACTCAGGCACATCACTCTCACACACATCACACTCAGCACTCACACACATCATACACAGCACTATCACACTCAACACTCATACACAGCACTATCACACTCAGCACTCACACACATAACACACAACACTCACACACATCACTCTCACACACATCATAGCACTCTCACACACATCATAGCACTCTCACACACATCATACACAGCAATCTCACACATCGCAGCACTCTCACACACATCATAGCACTTCATACACAGCACTTCACACTCAGCACTCACACACATAACACACAACACTCACACACAGCACTCTCACACATCACTCTCACACACATCACACATCATACACAGCACTATCACACTCAGCACTCACACACATCACACACACAACACTCTCACACTCATCATACACAGCACCCTCACACACACAGCACCCTCACACACATACTGAACCCCTCACATACACACAACCCCCCAATACACTGCATCACACAC